TAGTCTTCCAGCACTTTTATCACCATTTATAATGTTATCTACAATGATCCTGGTTACAGTTTATTGCTTCACAAGATGCTTTAGTGTAATGTATTGAAGTTCCCTCGCCCTCTTCCTTGTTAATTCTAAAATCCATCAGCTTTACATTGATGTCAATTCCTAAGCTTCCACTTGAGATGTATCTAATGCTTTGACTGATATGCCTGTGAATTTCTGTTTGTGTTCACATATTGGCTCAAATATATATAGTTGGCTTCATTATTTTGATGAAGCCACATCTTTATTGCCATCCAGTCGGTAACAAGATGGTATTTTATCATAATAGAGCTGTATTAGTACATTACCTAGGTATTATGTAGCATTCACCTTTGATGTTTAACTTATCATTATGGCTATAACTTGAAATTACAGTGAACTTCCACAATAAATTCTGGCATGATGACAATACATAGACATATGCGTCACCTACCTTGTGACATTCTTCCATCTTACTGACTACTGCATGGAACCAGTAACTGATTGTATCATTCAAGCAGCTGTTTGTTCTACCCCTAAAACCTCAATATGCTTCCCGTGGTATCCTCGACCATGGTGGTCATTTGCCTGTCACCAGTTCCAAAGCCATCTGGGACAAGATTTGGAAGGTCAATGGGAAATATGCTTTCCATCCTGCTCTCCAATGGTCCGGAAGTTACTGATGTACAGAATATTGCCAATACTTTCAGTGAGTGTATTTCATATCTCTCCAACACTTCTGTTTCATCCCCTGCATTCTTGACCATCAAGTCTCGGGTAGAGTGATCTCCTCTTTCCTTTTGGGCTGATCATCTCTATGACTATAATTGCCCTTTTACATTGGTAGAACTTAAGATTGCTCTTCTTTGGTCTGGCAGTATATCAGTCAGCCTTGATATCATTCACTATGAAATGCTGCACCATCTCTCCCCTGCTCTTCGTCTAATTATTTTAAACCGGACCTGGTAGGAGAACGTTTTTCCTGATGCTTGGTGCAAGGCTATCGTTCTACTTTTTTCTAAGCCTGGGAAAGATCCCAAGATTTCTTTTAATTATTGTCTCTGTAAGGTTTTGGAGATGATGGTTAATGCTCGTCTTGTTTGGTTCCTTGAAAACTATGAAACTGTAAAAGCATTAGATAAATCCGCCACTTCAAAACAAATTAAAGACTGGTTAAGTCAGCAGGCTATATACACTCTACATAAACCAGTAAGATACAAAGCTTTCAAAAAACTGAGTGATTATTTCAGGGATTGATGCAATGGTAGGCTGATTTTGTAGATATCTCTAATCTAAGGCACTATGGCACACTGTTTAAGTATTTACGCATGAATATTGACGTAGTTATAAATATGCATCGGTTGTAGTGCTCATGGATAAAAGCAGGTGTGATGCTTGCCAAACTTTCAAACAAATTTTAAAACAGGGTTTGGAAACCTTGTAAACTTCATAAAGATGCTGGAACAGAATTTACTAATCGCCTATTTTAATGTTATTTTAAGGAACAAGGCATTCACTTCTTTACTATACACAATGAAACAAAAGCATCTATAGTGGACAATTTAATTATATTCTTAAAACTAGAATTTGATGCTATTTTACTCATCATGGAACTTGTAAGTATATCGTTGTATCAAAAATCTGATCAATGCCTATCTATAATCAATCATATCATCATTGTATTAAAATGAGACCAATGGATGTAAACTACTCTAATCAGTCTGTGTTATGGAAGACTTTACAAACCACCCACCAAAATATACATTGAGTTTAAATTGTGCCTTCCCAGTGACACAGCGATATATCTGCGGACTTACAACGCTAGAAGCCAGGTTTCGATACTCATGGTGGGCAGAGCACATATAGCTAATGTGTAGCTTTATGCTTAACTTCAGACAAACAAGCAAACGGTTTAAAGTGAGCAATCAGGTACGTATTAGTGAAGTGTCAGATTCAGAAAGGACATATGTCCGGATGACCAGGCGAAATTTTTATGATCCACAAGAGATTGCACAGAATTTCTCTAGTGTAAAAACTAAAATAATATCTTAGAGAAATTTTAAGTAGAGTCTTGTATGAATTTGAATTAAAACACAGCAGAAACAGTGTGTGAACAAGAATGGAAAGGGACGAATAGTATTTTGTCAAGTGGAAAGATATCCTGAAAATTTTAATCGATGGATCTCTCAATCAGATCTGAATCATCTGTCATCATAAAATGTTAATTATAACACTGGTACTCATTATTCATCACGAATCAACTGTTTGTAACATTACCCAGTAATATTTCTATTAACTAATTTATTACGTCACTCATCTTCTGAGACATAACGATCTTCATGGTTCAGGGAAGTGGCCTTGACAAATTACCGTATCACCATAGTTACCATAATGAACCTGATCGTACTAGATAGGTTTTCTACTTTTATGCCCTCAATATGCTACTGTAATCAGTTATATTAGGCCAGGGCATTACAATAAGCCTGAAAATTTAATTAGCGTTTTAAACCAAGTAGAAGAATCATTTACTAAACCCAATAAAGAACATATATTTACTTATCATTCGTTCACCAGAAAAATAAGCATTAATGTGACTGATGGAGCCCCAATAAGTCTTGGTCCTGTACTATCAGTGCTATTTAGGTTTGATAATAATCGTATTATAACATATCTTACTATAGCTTGAAACACTGTTAACATACAAGGTGTGTTTTCTTAATTCCACATGTATACAGACATTATAAAACCTAGTACTGCTGATGATGCGATTGTACCACTAATACCAATCATTCATGTTAAAGGTCAAGATGGAGATGTGATAACTGAAACATTTATAAAGTCACAATACAGACCCATTTCTAAACAGTTTCAGACTATTGAGATTGATATATTTAAAGACAACATGGGAGAATTATCATAACCCTTCATTTTCGTCATCTGTGACATCATGAGAGTGCCATATTCTCTTAAAACAACTATCTATGATGCATATTATAATTACCAAGTGGGAGATGGAGTACCTTGTTATGATGGAAATCAATGGCAATGGGGTCATGGATTGGGAAAAGTAGTGAGTAATCCGTTTTGTTCAACCATCCCATTTCTGAAAAAAGGAGTCTTAGCCATAGGAAAACAAGAAGTTCAGTCTGCCATAAATTTATCATGAGATATCAGACAAGGTAAATTTTTTTTGAGGTGGAGAACAACGAGCAATGCAAGGAACTTAAAACCTGGTTCAACATGCTAAGCATTTTGTGATTCTTGAACCTATTGTAAAGAATAAATCATAATCGCCCCACATTCAGAATCATTTAAACAAAGAGGCAAAGAACATCTACTTTAGAATTCTTTGACAAGTAATCATGACCCTCCTTCCAGAAGCAAAGTTCTAAAGTCTGAGCTAAACCTTTTTTCTCTCCTTCTCTCTCACACAGACCATGATTGAGGAGGGTCACTTGGCAAAGTATTCTTCTTTAGCTTCAAAGGTTGAAAGAAGACTCATCGAATTTTCTATATCAGGTTTAAGTGACGAATACTTAGATCCTTCACAATTATATCTGCATGTAAAAGCAAAGATTATCAAACCAGATAGAACCCACATAAAAAAAGAAGAAGATATCTCTGCTCCTGTCCATCTGTTTATTAATTTTCTACTTTCTCAAATAGATCTCCACATGAATAACAAGCTCATCTCTTTGCTTCACAGTCTTTATATGTATAAGGCATACATAGAAACTTTCTTGAGTTACAGAGGAGAAGCTAAGATAACTCATTTGATATCATCTGTGAGTAAAGGACATCATAGATAATTTTAACAATCTGACTGTGATGATGGCAAGAAGAATGGAATCATAGAGACGTGTCAGTCAAACAGTCGACAAATTATATTCAGGAATCGTTTTGCAGAACAAATGTTTGCCCAATGAAGTAAACATAAAACTCCACCTCATACATAGTACAGATGTATTTTGTCCAATAAAGAATCAGAATTCATTGTTATTATACAAAAATTTTCTATTTACGGTAGAAAGGTTAAAACCAGCCCCTCTTTCATTCTAACGTTTGCTGAAGCATATAAGAAAAAAACACTAAACACCCTTTGAAATATATAGTGTGCAAGGCATTCTCAAATCCATAGGGAATCTTACAAGCATCTATCAATAATGCATTTTAGAGTCAAGTACCCAAACGTATTGTTATAGGATGTGTTGATAAAGATGCATTTAATGGATCTTGGAAGAAAATTCTATACAGTTTCAACCATTACAGTATCAATTTTGTGAAAATCAATGTGGATGGAAGTATATTTACACCTGATTTTGATATTGACCTGTACTCACGAAACTTTAACACTTTATTCAGTAGAACAGGAAAACAGTTTCAAGATCAAGAAATTGACAAATGCTCTTTGCCGCTGATATAACACGCATTATATCTGCTAGAGATTCACACTTTAACTTGGTAAAGTAGGGAAATTTATGAATTGAGATACGTTTTGGTAAATCATTACCCGACACTATAAATATTCACGCCTAGGCAGAATTCCAGCCAACTTTATAAATTAATCAGTCCAGAAACATTTTAACCGATCTATTCCACACTCTCACAAGATTTGTGTACATGAAATGTGTTTGCAAGTGATCAGCTACCTGACCAAGCAGAAAAGCAGGTGCACTTCATTAATCTGGATTCAAGTTATCAGCCAGACACTCACTGGGTCTGTATTTATTTTGTTGGAGGTGAAAGAGGAGAACATTTTGATCCATATGAATTATCTAACCATGACTTCAGCCAGTGAAGATTCATCCTGGAGAGCTGTCGAAGCTGGGCTTACAATGGAAACATACAGAAAAGACCATATTCGTCTGTGTTTAGACAATATTACATTTATTATGCATATTATCTTTGCTGACATATGTCAAAATACAAACAGTTAACTAATTTTAGATCCCATAAAATATTAATGTTATATTTGTTAATATCTAAAAATTAGTTTTAGTTACTGTAGTAATGATGTAATTTTACCATACTGTAGTCCTACTCACTGTAGTTGTAAGTTATCATAGTGGTAATACCAGATGGAGCAGAGTGGAAGTGAAGTATTAGTAAGGTAGGCAACAATGTGTAAAACTGGTGTTAATTTTCAATAATGTCCTGAATGATAAAACAGGGTAAAAGAGTTTGACTGAAGATATGAAATCTTGGTGTATAAAACTTAGAAGTAATATTTACCTATCATTTATGTTTTGAATCTGCTTTAGTAACCTTAAAACTTTTGAAATTAAACGTTTAGAATCTGTTTTCTGTTCGTATAATGATAAGAAGGAAATTTTGTTGGTAACTTAATATTTAATATCAAATTTAACAAGTTCCCAAATTTTGCATTTGTTTTTTTAAGGTAGTACATTCAAGTTATTTTCTTTCTTTAAAATAATCACAATTTTAATGTATTCCTTTAACTATTCTAGCTCTAATTCACAGTTCAAATTAATGTTCTAGATACAGGCTTATTAGATTTTTACGTGCAATATCTTATGAAGTCAGAAATAACAGTAATATCTATCAATTCTGTTACTATGATTTTATCTAACTACTTCAAATTTTTGTTGCTTTTACAAATATATTTATCATCTATACTGCAACCGATTAAATAGATACATCACTGTTGTTTATTTTGTCGTCATCTATAATACATTGTAAGACAACTAGTTTAACATGAAAGATTGGAAATTTAGGTTCTTGGAAAAGTTAAGGAGTGAAGTAGTTTTACTTTTTTCACCAAAACCTTTTGAACAGTTTGGAGTTTTCTGTTTTTTTTTACTTCTACATATATTAAAGTAATTGACTTTTTTATATCATTTAAATATTAGGTAAATAGCTTGAGTTTTTTTTTCAAAACATGTCTTTTCATTTTGTAATAGCGTGATGTGTTTAACTTACTTCTTATACATGCTGCTCTGAAGTCTGCCAACAGGTACCATCACTCCCTTGCCCAGTAAGTGATTCACTAGTTTTTAGCACATTAGCTCTGCTTCCGACTAGATCCGGTCTGTTGCTGGCTGGTCATTTAATGTCACAAAGTTGTCTTTGCAACATAAATAATTTAATAAGTTGTATAATTTTGTTTCTTATAATCGTTGTAATGTATGGAAATTTAATTATGAATATCTCTGTATTCTTTAAGCTTAGCATTATTTGTATCTAACACAAATGCATATTTTTACATTACCTTGAAAATTCCCTTCTTGAATTTACTCAATTTGAACTGGAGTTGTTGGGTAGTTTATCCTGAACTTCTGTACATTTATCGCTTTATGGTTGGGGAAGGAAACAGTTGGTGATCATGGACAAAAGTACTTTATGTCAATTGGTATTCCAGGTCTTTAATTAAATAGTAAATGAAAAAATTCTCAGTTATTCAACATTCTGTAAGTACAGAAAGTTTAATGTCCAGTTAACATGTAGTTTGTTACTACAACTTGATGAGGGTCAGTCTGAAGCCACTTGATTACTTCATACTAGAGAATACTATGTATATCAAGAAAATGGAAAATGTTGACCATTAAAACTTTAGGTAACTTAGAATGACTCACCTGGGGCTCTTTAGCATATGTAGGATAATAAAAGTGTAGTTTTTGTCTTTGAATATTTAGTTAAGTAAGGAAAACGTGTCAGTACTTTTTATCTACCTCTACTTATATTTGTAGTGATACAGTGTTGAAAACAAGAGCATAGTTTTTTTATAAAGTTTAGTTTGCATTCATTACAGGAGTCTTTTGTATGAACGAAAAGCTTTGAAAGAAGCATCTGGAATAACAGATCGTCTCATGGCAAGAGCTTTAGCCTCCCATAAGGCATGAGTTCCATTTAAACAGCAGATATCTATTTACTGTTCACAACTTTTGAATTTATTTTTAAAAAATATGAGTTTTTGAGAATTTTTAGAATAAAACTATTTTTGATCTATATCTTTTAATAATGTTTTTACAAACAAATATATTTGTAATTTTATAAAGTTGAAGTTTGTCTTATCAGTTTCTTTATGTCAGTAAATTTTATCCCTCAAGGTACTCTACAGCTACTTCCAAGCATAATTGAAACATTCAATTTGTAAACTCATTAGATTTCTTTAGTTTGTATTGTGTTTTAGTATTTATAATGCATAATAGTATGATTTGTACATTTTGATAATAAAGACAGAAAAAAATAGTTTTGGAGCTGTAGGTCTGTTGTTTTTTTCTGTTAGTTTCTGGTGATGTTTTTTTTTCTAATTCAAATTTATGACATCTCATAGGATGGTTTTAAAGAAATAGTGTTGATTGCTCACTGTTTCAGGGTTTCTTTGTAGACAAGTTGAGAGGGTGGATTCCTATCAATATAATGTTATTTCTTGGCACTGTTATAGAAAGCCTATCTGTTTTTCTCTCTTTACCAGTTTTTTAGTATGAGGTATACTGCTGTAGTACTATGATGTTTTCAGTCAATTGCTGGGAATATTTTGTTGTCTTTGAGAATTTGTAGTACCTACATATGTTGATAAAAAAACTACCTTTACAGTCCAGATAATTATAATATAACTTTTATTATCAAATGTTGGTACCGCTATACTATAATATTAGAACAGTAGTGAAACAATAATAATATTCTATACTTTGTTAGAGGCATGTTATGGCAGACTAAAGAAATAGAACATCACACACAGTTTTATACAGTAGCCCTGATGAAGCTCCAAAGTAAAATATAAGTTTGCTTATGATTATCTGGATTATAAAATTAAGATGTGTGTATAACTGCTGTTAGTGAAAAACATTCACCTTCTTGTACAGAACTTTCTTTATCATGTGGTCAGTAACTCTTATCTTTCATAAGTATACAGTATTTATGGAATTTAAAAAGTTAAGTAATTGAAATAATTTTTTATAATAATGGCAAACATATATATCTTATCAATCTAATTTATAAACTGTATATGGGCTCAGTCAATCTGACCATCCTTGTAACCACTTCTTACTATGAAACTATACATAACTCTGAATGTACAAATGTATCTTCATGAAATCTAGCAAGCTTTTTGTAAACATTACAAATCAGTTGTACTACAAAAAAGTCAGATTTTTAATAAACTGTTCATTTAAGATTTGTCTAAATTTATAAAGCATTTACCAAATCAGTCTGAGTAAATGGTGATTTTCATGCTAAAGATAAAGATACTTATTTTCACCTTAAAGATTTCTCATTTCACATGCAAAATCTCTAGAACCTCCTAAATGAATATCAGAAGTTTTCGTTTTGGTAAAACTTTATATTTTATTCTTATTTTCTCTACCATAATACTAACAATTGTGAAATCATAAATATACAGTGATATGAAAACTTGTAATAAAATTAATAATACATGTTTTTCTTCTTTTTTGAATGCATAATATTGTTACGTCTCTGTATGTTTGCTTGTTAATTCTTACAAGATACAAGTCCTTTCTTTATAAAACTTGTTTATTCTTCCTCAATACAACTTTGTAATATACTTAATTTTCACAGTTACAACAATTCACTCACTTTCTATCGAGAGATATGAAGATGTAGTTTCATTGCTTTACCCTCTACGATATGAGATTGTTGAGATTGGTGGAAGTAATGCACAAGTAAGTTCACCATCTGAGCAAAATTTAAGATTATTGCTGTATTTAGAAAAAGTAAGGGGATCAACTCCAGAGTTTCTGCTAAAGTAGGAAGTAAAATTATCCAAGCTCTCCTGGCTTATGATGACGGAGCTCAAGTAAAGGACAGATGGCGGGAGGTTTTTGAAATATGTTACACACACATTGAGGACCATATTTTAGCTTTCAATGATGCTCATATATTTATGTCATGTCTGGGAGCCAAAAATGAAGATGCAAAAATGCAGTTGATGAATTCTCTTGATGAGTATATGAGGTAAAATTAGTTTTTATAATTAACTATTGTGAACTGAATTTTCAAAGATTTATCATAAATATAGTTTGTAAACAAAGGTTGTAGTTTTATGTGTAATTATAAGAAGCAGGCCATAGTTAGTTCAATATTTATTTATTTATCATACATATGTATATATATATATATATATATTTCTAATATACTTGCATTAATAGGTTTTAATCATTTTGCAATGTTTCATCTTTAGGCCAGTAATAAGCACTTAACAGTTACTTCGATCTTTTTAATTGACAAATGTAGTCTTAACTCTAAAAGCAGTGAATTCAAATTCTATTAATTATGATAATGCGAGCAATCTTTTACACTTGCAGTGATATATATCAAAGCCTTTAAAAGTGCTCAGTCCACCAGGGCATGCTCATATTGCAGGCAACACTTTGATCTGCTCCTTTTGCATGCAGAGTCTGCTCAAAGTCTGTGGATAAAGACATTTATATTGTTCTAGTATTGCATTAAATGTAATTACATCAAAATGACATCATTTTATAAAGGATTTGCCATGCTACCCGTGCTACACAGGGCAGCTCAAAAACTAAATATTATACTTAATTATATAATAATGCATGATTTCATCAGCTCCTTGATTATTTGTTTGTCGTCTTCACAAGTTACACCACTTCAATTCCAACAGACTAGTTTTGTGATTTAGTTCCTTTATAGATTGAGAACTTAATATATTTTGCTCAAGCCTTGTCCAGGTACATGCCCAGCCTTGGCTACATCAATGATACTAGGAATTACTTAATTTTCCATGAGCTCTGGGGTACGTTCTATATAAAAAAAAGTGTAATAATAAAAAATTTAAATTGTAAAATCATATTTGGAAATGGTAAAATTTTACTCAATTTGGTTTTTTATCTTCACATTCACATACTTTTGAAGCCATCTTCGACTTAATTAATGAACTAAATTTTGAAACTGTGGTAGTACACGGGTCTCAAACTTTTCAGATGAGAAAAGGTTGTCATACCCCCTTCACCCTGACCATATGCTATAAGCTCTGTCATTATACCACTGTTCTTTTTTTTTTGATTATTTTTATGTAACCCACGTAATGATTAATACCTTACTCCTGGAAATGTACCTACCACAGATTGTGAACACTGCTGTAATGAATGCATGTGAAAAATATGTTTAATGGAAAAAGAAATAATATATCAGCTGTTACTAAAACAATAGAGGCATTTATTATAACTTTCCAAAAATTTTATATACTCATATAGCTTAATTTATTTGGATGCGAGAAACTGCTTAATTAAACTTTAACAAGAAGATAAAAACCCAATTGAATTATCATTATATTCATCATGAATTTAAAATAAATTTCAAGAAGGAAAACTTCTCTGCTTTTTCTGGTAAAGTTTTTGTTTTGCAGGGTCATTGTGGCCTAGTGAATAGTGCTTTGGACTTGTAGTCGAAAGGTTACAAGTTCAAGGCTTCTCCAAGACATGTATATATATGTCCTTGAGCAAGGTAGTTTTCTCTAAATGCTTCAGCTGTCTAATGGATCAAGGGTAAATTGTCACCATTCTCATCTGCTTGTGCCAGAGGAAGTTAAACACCAGCTTTATGTACCTTTAAAGGCACAGTTAATATTAGCTAACCTTACCTGTTAGCTTTACAGTCAACTTTATGGAAATAAATCCTCTAAATATCCACCATCAAAGTCTTTACTTGCTTGATAATTGTTGAAAACAGTTCTGCATTATCAAGTTACCTTGATACATTTACATCTTGCATAATATTTCTAATCACCCCTGTTATGGTTACAAGAACCAGAAGTACCTGTGAACCTCAATTGGTCAACTGAGAAGACCTGGGTATTCTGACCATATTGTGCAAATCAAGTAGAAAAATATAGTTCAAAAGAACCATTGAATGATATCTTTGCCAAGATGGCTTTGTCTGTATTTTTTAAATTTCATTATATTTATCAGATGTAATGTTATTTAATTAAGCCTGTTATGAAATAAATACCATGGCAAAATTTTACGCATGGATAAGATAAATTATAGTGTTCTATAAGAGTCTATTGTTATTTATCAATTCAACAGTGGCCACACACTTTTTTTTCCACTTAGGTATTTTCTGATTTCTACTTTAATGTTTTTACAAATGTAACATAATCATAATTGTTTTGAGACAGAAGTAGTTTCTTGTGTAAAGTAAGAGACACAGTTTTGATTGTTTGTTTAAAACATTTATTTTCTATTTGTAGTAACAAAATAATTAATTTTTAATGCAAAAGAAATACCCATGCTATATTTATAAACTAACGTTTTATACTAGTAACGGCTGGAGACGGCTTGAATGGGTACTGAAGAAAAACTTTTAATATAAATTTAACAAAACAGCAAATGTACAACGTTTTGACATCATCAGGTAGAAGTAATTTACACTGTAGTAACAAAATAATTAATTTTTAATGCAAAAGAAATACCCATGCTATATTTATAAACTAACGTTTTATACTAGTAACGGCTGGAGACGGCTTGAATGGGTACTGAAGAAAAACTTTTAATATAAATTTAACAAAACAGCAAATGTACAACGTTTTGACATCATCAGGTAGAAGTAATTTACACTGTAGTAACAAA